TATATCTTTTTTTTTCCACTTATATTTCTTTTAACAAACAAGCTTTACAAAGAAAGATTGAAAATTACTGTTCGGTATTTGATTTGGGAAGGTTGCTTCTATCCGCTGACATTTTTTATAAAAATTACGCTATAAATTTTCCAAAAGATGATTAATTACATGCAACTTCATAACAAGTAAAATTAGCTACTTGAAAAATAAATCAAGCAACCAACAGTTATTGATTATACAAGAATTAAATACACTACCTGTATCTAATAGAGATGAAAATGAAATAAGACGCTCAGGAACATGTAACAAAGAATTAAATAGCAGAATCTAAGTGGTCAAAGACACGAGCAAAGAACTACATGGCAGTCTTTCTTGGACGGAAATAATTGACTGCCATACGTACGTAGAATACAAAGGTAACCGTCAATATGAACCATGACCTGAAACAATTTTAAGTTGGGGAAATAAGAAGTTAGTTGCTAATTAGTTAGTTAGACTAAAGTATAATTAGAAAATTAAGAGGGGTGATAATCAAATTAGTCTATAAAAAAGACTAAGTCGGTTATCACTGTGCATAGCAGAAAAATGAGCTATTGCTCTTCTCTTCTCTCTTCTTCTTCTCTCTGAATTCAAAACGTAGATACGTAGATCATTTAGTGAAACAAAGGCTACTACAATTCTTAATGGGGCTGAATGAGAGCTATAGCCATGTGAGAAGTGCAGTGTTGCTAAAAAGGCCAGTCCTTACTGTGAACCAAGCTATGCAGTTGTAGTGCAGGAGAAGAGTTAGAGGGAATTAGGAGTGGTTGACACAAATAGGGAGCCAATGACTATGTTAGCAGGAAAAGGAAATCAGTTTATGAAGGGGAAGAAGCTAGAACTTGTTTGTGAACATTGTGGGTACAAAGGGCATTTAAAGGAAAACTGCTACAAGATCATTGGGTACCCAGCAAACTCCAAAAGCAAGAATAAAGGTCAATTTCCTGCCAAATCTTATGATAACAATGTCAGTGGAGAAAAGGAAGTTGCAATGAACAATCAGCCACAGGGGAACTATATGGCTGAGGATCAGTACAAGCACCTAGTAAGTCTGTTAACAAAGTCATCAATGGAAGAAAGTTCCAACAACACAGCTAGCTCAGCAAACTTGACAGGTATAAAGTCACTATTATCTAAAGTACGATCATATGATTGGATTGTAGATTTAGGAGCATCACACCATATCACCTTTTGCAAGGAAGTTTTAGAAAAATTAAGGAGAACCAATAGAGGAAACAGTAGTGGAGTTCAAATACCTACAGGAGGAAGATTAGAAATAGTACACATAGGAGATGCAACAATACTAAGAGGGCAGAAGATTAGGAATGTTTTACATGTGCCTGTCTTTAAGTTCAATCTCATTTCAGCATCCAAGTTGACTAGAGATTTATGTTGTTCAGCCTGCTTCAACCCTGGTTTTTGTGTGTTTCAGAGACTTTGCATTGGTAGGGTACTGGGGATTAGTAGAGAAGATGAAGGGTTGTACATAATTAGAAGTGAAGAGGAGGAAATAGTAGCTGGATCAGTCAAGAAGGAAGAAATAAATGTAGCATTGTGGCATCAAAGGATTGGGACATGCATCCACAGGTTCCTTACAGTGCTTGCCAGATTTAAAGAATAAAATAAATCAAGATGTGCAGAAGAACTGTGAGAATTGTCCATTAGCCAAGCAGAGTAGACTGAAGTTTCCTATTAGTATCAATCTGACTGCATTTAAAGTAGCTACTTTAAATGCACATATATGTGTGGGGACGGTATAAAGTAGCTACTTATGACAAGAGGCATTACTTTGTAACCATAGTGGATGACTTTTGCAGGTATACTTGGGTCTGTTTGCTACAATCTAAATGTGAAGTAATAGTAGTATTGAAGGATTTCTGATGTTCGGCCAAAATGCATATATTTACCCATTGTTATCTCATATTCTAGCACTTTTAATCGCTATTTGAGTATTATTTATATTATTTTACGCTTAATATTATATTTTAACTGAGTAGGAAAAACAGTGTGAAGATGAAGCGATTTGGAGTAAAATTGAATAAAACGCGGAAGAAAAAGAAAGAAAATTAAAATAATAAAAAACTAGGGGGGACACCCTTTGTCTTTTTGTCCCCCCAAGTAGAAGACCAAAAATAAGGAATTACAATTCAAAGAAAACCAGGAAGTTGAACATAAAATTGGAATTAGCTGCTGCTTTTCGCGCGCTGCCCTGGACGCTGATGACGGGAAACTTTTTCAACTTCGCTGAGACAAGGTTATTTCGGCCCTAGACCTACCCAACACGTATAAAAGCAGGACTAAACATATTTTTGAAAGGAGAGGACGCCACTTTGGGGACATCTAACATACTTTGAAGGAGAATTCACGTGGAGTAACACACACCACGCTTGGAGGAGGCTTCTAACTAGTGTTTCTTCTCTTCTCTTCTTAATTTCATAGTTTATTAGTTCTAGAGTTTTGGGGGCTACATGAACGTTGTGGTTTGAAGCTTGAATTGTTCTTATTATTTTATCATATTGGTTTTAGTTATTCAATTTTGCGCTTAAATATTTGATTGCTTGATCACCAATTGAATACTATCTACGAATCTAGGATTGAACTCGGGAGAGGGAATTCTAGATTGCATATAAGATTGAGTTGAGTAAGATCTTAACTCTGGGGGGGGGGGGGGGATTTGCGGTTAGGATAGGAATATACCTAATCGCCTTGCTTGGTTACTATACAGGAATTATTAATGCGTTCTTGTTAATTCTAATTCCATAGGAATATAGGCGTTAGATTAGCTTGAATACGCGAGTTGTACTTCGGAAGAAGGCTACGAGCAATATTAACCCTGTTAACCAATAAACTATATAAATTAATTAGACGATTTAAGTGAAAAACTCAACGGGATTGTTAGCTAACCCATAGCTCTAGAATATTGTCTCTCATTGAATTTGTCTCTAATATTCGCCAATTTGTTTCCTCTGTTTCTTAATTTGTTACTCTAGATCAATTTTAGTTAAATATTCATACGTTAGGATTCGCTTGAATAGATTAATTGTTTGGGTTTAATTTAGTTGATAGTTGATCACAAGACCCTGTGGATACGATATCTGGACTTACAATCCTATATTACTTGTCGACCACGTATACTTGCGTGTGCGTTTGGCAGCAACAAGTTTTTGGCGCCGTTGCCGGGGACTTAGAAATTAACTATTATTTTAGATTAGATTTTTACTTTTTGTCTACTCAAGTTTTTTTTTATCTTATTTTAATACTTTACTATCTTTGTTGATATGGATCTTGGAATGATAATTGGTCGAATATTGGTTATTCTTATTTTGGTTATCCATGTCCATATTGTGGAGGACCACACTTGTGGCAAAATTGTGAATCTCAATCTTATGGGTGGAATATTTGTAATATGTGTGGTGGTCAAGGTGGCCACTGGGATGGTTGTCCTAATTCTTTTCATCCTTTTCTGAGCCCTTTTTATGATCTTTCTAACAGTGTTTGTGAGTTTGATAGCGGCAATGAAGTGCAGGATATGGAACGTGATGCATATATTAAGGATATTCTGAGGCAAGTAGCAGAGCAACAGGATGACCTCAAAAAAGATATGAAAAGAATTAGTGCAACAATCATAAGAATGAAGGCCGAGGCGGAGAAAGTGGCTGAAGAGAGCGGGTTCCCACCAGAAGATAATTTAGAAGAAACAAATATAGTGAGCCAATCTTGGCTAGAGGAACAAGCTCAAAGATAAAATCTCATGAGTATCTTCGTGATGGTCTTTCAAATATGACAGAACAACTGATAGAAGGAAGAACTGTTCTATGCATTAAAAAGTTAAGGAATAATGTTTTCCAGAAAGGTGTGTTTATGCGGTCCATTATGTGGTCGCATAACAGCTATGCGGACCGCATAGTCATCGCATAATCCCCTTGGAGTTTTGCAAGGGGAAGTTCTGCGGTGCAATATGAGACCGCAGAACAGGTATGCGGACCGCATTCTTATCGCATACCCGGGCAATTTGTTCAGGTTTTTGAAGCCATTTCTGCGGTCCCTTTTGCGGGCCGCATGTCCATTATGCGATCGCATATGCGATCGCAGATTGTGTCGGGGCTCCTATTTTCTAACTTTTAAAACCCGACCCCATCCCATTAAAAACACCCCGTTAGACCCATTTTTTGATATTTTACTGCATATAGAGTGAGAGAGGAAGTCTAGAGAGAGAGGGAGTGATCTTCATCAAGTCCCCACTCAATTCTTGCTCCAAATCCTTGAAGATTGTCAAGTGAAATCACTAGGACTTCACCCCAAAGAGGTAAGAACTTGAGCCCTAACCTTTGGTTTCGAAATTCACACTAGAATGAGGAATTAGCTTATGGGTTCATGGGGATAAAAATGGATTTTCTTACATGCATAAAAGATAATGGGGTATGGGGAGGTTGTGAACTAAAAAGATAGCAATTGGGGTGCAAGATGATGAAAATCCTTCACAAAAGGGTCCAAAAAATCACAATGCACACTTAGTGTTTGCTAATATGCTCAAATAATCTAGAACCTTAATCATGTCTCTAATTCTTGGTTCAACTTGCAATTTTTATAAAATAGATCGAAGTTGCTAGGAAATTCCGAAATTTATTGTAAGGATTTGAGGAAAGCTCTATTAAGGTATGTATGGATAAAATCCCCTCCTCTTAGAAATTGAGCTTCCATGGTGTCCGTGCAAATGTTGTAAGTCCAAAATTTGATTGATGTAGTACTTGTTATGTCAAATGAATTGATGTTAGTAAAAAATTTATGTGGAAGATGCTTCTCCATGTGTTTAATGTGCCATTCTTTGTAAAATTGAGGATGTGTAGAGAACATGAGCTATGTGCTAAATGCC